GCTTCTTACCTAAGCTCCTTACCTATAGATAAGTAATTCTGTGGATTCCTTCTTGAACAAGCTAAGACTAGAAAAGATAAGCTAAAGGTTTCAAGAAGTGCACCGTACAAACCGAACAAATTGACGGTCAAACCCACTTCCCCCCCCCCCCTCTCCCCCACGCTTTCAGTTAATTCAAGAGATCAAAAGCGTATCCAGATCATATGGTCAGAGGGGAGAACCCTTCATTTCGCCACCTCAGGAGTGGGCTGAGGTCGATTCGCCACATGTGATTAATAAATAACCTAAACAGACATATGCTTTTACTATTAATTCTAAAGTTGACCGCTTCTCTTTACAAAGCAACAAAGCGTTCAAAGTCAGAGCCGTGGTAAGTAAAATGTTTGATTATTTACGTTCTCTTACAAGTATCAACTTTCCAAGACATATTTGAACGCTGTATATTATGCTTAAGGCTAGCTTCCCCTACATACACCGCGGCTGAATTCGAACTGATCAATATATTGACACATTATAAATTGCTTTGGAGGGGCGATCATCCAAATGAATGACTTTTCTGTTTTAAAATATTTTTACCAAGAAGGAAATATCCCCTTGTGTAGTGAAGATAATATCGGTACTTCAGTAGTCTTGGATCATATTAGTATCACTAATACCTCTCTAACAATTAGATAAACAATTACATGCACAACGCTTGTGAGAATTTGATCCTTCTGACACGTTAATTTCGTGCCTAAAAGCGCCCTGAGAAGTTCATAAATGCTTCAAAAACTAACCCTGCTTCACGCGCAGGGTTAGTTTTTATTCAGCAAAGGCTTGTTTAGATTAAAAAAGACGGAAACCATTGTCAGCGTTCCCAAAGTTAGAAATGGGTGAAATATAGCCGTTCTAAATTGAAATTCTCGGCACGCTGGCATACAATCTATTTGTCATGGTCCTCCTCCGCTGCCGTGAGTAGCTTGAAGTTTTTCAGTGAAGGTAGTACGAAGCGCGGTGTATATCGTAAACAAATCGTGGACTGTTGCTAAATTTCATGCCAATTCAAAGCCGGAAAATCTGACATGTTATTTGACATGTTATTCTTGACTTATGGGGAAGATAAAGAGCGGTCGACCTAAGGTTTCCTCATCGACTTGGACTTTTTCTTTTCACCACTCTAACTTAATCTTCACACTTGTTATTTCATTGTTCCTTTTTTGGTCTAACAGTTTGGTTTTTCTTTTTTTCTTTTTTCACCCATGGAGTAGTCACTTCTTTTTTACAACAGCTATTTGCATACACCTTTGTTTTGCAGGGGAAGTTGTCTTTCAGTTTCTTACTTTTGGTTTCATTGTTCATACCATCAGAATACTAAACAAGACGGTAAGCTGTAACAAAGATAATTTTAGAAATAATTTTTTAACTCCCGCCTAACAAATCTGAAATGTTCTTGACAAAAAAAACGCAGACAGAGGATTTGAACCTCGAAATAACCTTAGATAATGGTAAAGATTTGTCGTTAAAAGCTTGATTTAAACCTATAAAAGTTTGTAAAATAAAACAATTAACTCAACATTAGGCTCCTAACTCCCAAGATCTAATTACTAAATCTCCTTTCTAATTGCTATAAATCCTACTAGAAATGCGTTAAGAGAATGAAGTGTTTGAACAATTTAACAACTTTCAGCTGAATGGATAAGTTTCTCTATTCTTCAAAACTGTTGGCCTACTGATTTGATTACGGTACTGAAAAGTTACAAGTTAACCTGTTCTTAACTGTCAGAGTCCGAGGGAAATAGTTTAAAATGTAGACACATAATAATGCATTAATCAGATGCAAGAACGGGAAAATGTGATGTAAAAAGAACAAAGATTTAATGTTATTCAAGAATGTAGGGAAGCTGAGACGTGACGTGGTTATAAATTAGCTTAGCTTAGCTTATTATTTTTTATTATTATTATTATTATTTTTTTTTTACACGCGTTATTGTCATTCATCTCTGTTCTGCAGGAAAAACGTTTTTTCAATTTCTTACTTTTGGTTTCCTTAGTCACGCGATCAGAACACTGAAAAACACACGCTTCCTCGCTCAAGGGCAAGCAGCAAACCTAAATGGAAGTACAGCTTAAATTCTTTCGCCGTTTTCAAAAGAACGTTTTTCCACCTCAAATTAGGCGTAACAGAAATCAAATTTAAAATCAGAAAATTATGATATAATAGTAAGTAGCCACAATAAATTGCAGTGCACCTTATGTGCGAAACTGGAATTCGTGTCGATTTATAGTTGGGCTTTTAAAAAAGTTTTCTTTTACAACCGATCAAACGTAGGTTCTTCAAATTCGGACAAAGCATGATCAGTTAAAAATAAAAATCGATTTTACCATACCTATTTCAACGCTATATATTATGCTTAGAGCTAGCTTCCTCTGCATACAGCATCACTGTATTGATTAATAAATCAATACATTATAAATTGCAATGGAGGGACGATTATCCAAATGAATGACTTCTATGTCTTAAGATATTTTTCCCCAGAAGAAAAAAGGTCTCTTGCGTATTAAAAAAAAAAAGAATAAAAAAATCGGTACTTCAGCAGTATTGAATCATATTCGTATTACTAATACCTATCTGGCAATAAGATAAACAATTACAACGCTTGTGAGAATTTGATCCTTCTGATATGTTAATTTTGTGCCTAAAACCGTCCGGAGAAGTTCATAAATGGAAAAACGCACTCATATCGTTTCACGCGCGGGGTCAGTTGTTATTTGGCAAAAATATGTTTAGATTCAGAAAGACGGAAAGCATTGTCAGCGTTCCCAAAGTTAGAAATGGGTGAAATATAACTGTTCGAAATTAAAATTCTCAGCGCACTGGCATCCAATCTTGTTCCTTTTTTCGGTCTATCAGTTTTTTTTTTTGTTTGTTTTTGTTTTCTTTTGTTTTTGTTTTTTTGTTTTTTTCACCCATCGAGTTGTTACTTCATTTTTACAATAACTATTTGCATGTATCTTTGTTTTGCGGAAAAGTTGCATTTCAGTTTCTTACTTTTGGTTTCGTTAGCATACGATCAGAATACTAAACAAGAAGGTAAGCTGTAACAAAGATAATTTTAGAAATAATTTGTTTTTTTCCCGCCTTACAAAACTGAAATGTTTTTGTCAAGAAACGTAAAGGCAAAGGGTAAAACAGCTTACATTCTTTTCCCATTTTCAAAAGATCTTTTTGCCGCCTCAAATCAGGCGTAACAGATATCAAATTTAAGATCAGAAAATTATGATTTAAAGGTAAGGAGCCACAATAAAGTGCAATGCACCTTATGTGTGAAACTCGGAAAGTCGTGTCGATTTATATTTGGCGGCCTTTTATAAGATTTTCTTTAACAATCGATCAAACGTTGGTTCTCAGTTCAAAATCGGACAAAATATACTCAATTTAAAACCACCAAACTCTTATCGATGATATGCAAGCTCCGATATTTATTGAACCATCTTGTGAGCAAGCTGTAATGTTAGCTCCATCCTTCCCAGGTTATTACAATAATGTCATGTATTTGGCCAGCGGTTGTCTTACACACATGCGCATTAAAAGGCTACTCGACCGGGAGAACCGCAATGTTGTAATAAACGTGTTTGTTGTGTTGCTTTGTTAATTTCTGTTTAAATAAATCCGTCTCTTTTATAACCATCATCGGTTCCTCGATACTCAGCAAATGATCATTTTTAAATAATTTGGATATATCAACAAAGTTGAAATGATAAATTGGCCACCGTAACGATTACAAAAGCTCACGTTTCGAGCGTTAGCCCTTCGTCGGAGCGTTAGCCCTTCGTCGTTCGCTCCGACGAAGGGCTAACGCTCGAAACGTCAGCTTTTGTAATCGTTACGGTGGCCAATTTACCATTTCAACTTTGTTGATATATCCAAATTATTTCGCTACTCCCACCGACGCAGCCCCAAACAGTTTCTTTCGAAACTATCAGCCTTTATTCATTAGTCATTTTTAAAGATCGTTTTAATATTCGATGTTAAAGTATCTCCCTGCATTCGTGTTTTATTTTTGCTACGCAGAGAACATTTTAAACCAGTTAGATTTTGGCAAAGATTTGCTGTCGAGAACTTGCCTCAACTTAATTATTATCTGTAAAATAACACGATTAACTCGACATTGGGCTATTGACTTCCAAGATCTAACTTTCTAGTTGCTACAAATGACAGTGTAAATCTTAATATGTGTAGAAGTGTTCCATCAATTGTAATACGTACAACCCAGCTGATAACAGTCCTTTATTCTCCTGAAAAGTTGGCTGGATAATATATTACTACTGTAAAGAGAAGTTATAAGTTAAACAATTCTTGAGTGTCAGAGTCTGGAATGAAAAAATTTAAAAATCAGACACACGATGCATGAGTCAGAGGATAAAAGTTTAAAAAATTTAAGAAAAGCAGTTGCAGTTGCAGAAGAAGGATGGGTCATGCAAAAAGAAAAAGAAACAGGAAGAAACTCTTTGAGTTAATTATTAACTCCCGCTTTTAACTCCGACTTTAAGTGGAATTCATGATTTAAGGTAAACTCCTTCCAAATTTTACCCGAGATGACCAGCTTAGTTGGGGCTTTTGCGGACTAATTTGTGTAGAAAATAATCTGTAGGGAAACCAAAATTGCTTCGGGTAAGCGAGGGTTTCAGTTTCCAAGTGTCAAATTACAGTAAAGAACTTGTTCGACGGAAATCAACTGAAAATTTATTTCGAGTTAGTAGCAGATCCGAGTTATCGGAGTCGAAAATGCAGCCCATATAAAAGTCAAGAAAGTTAATTGAGTAACACTATGAAAAGATATGTTGCTCTGAGGCACTTTTGAAAATACACCACCCATGTCCCTGTAAACAGCTGTAGGAATGGCCTTTAAGACGCTTGTTTCAATTCTCTTTTCTCTTTCTTCCTCCAAAATTCAAGTTAATTCTTTGTTTTCTCACGACTAAAATCTTTTTATTATGATTATTTACAGGAAGAAACTGTAATGAATAGCAGAGCAGAAATCTTAAAAGAAGTCCAGATAGGTTTAGATGTCGCCATTTTTCTTTTCAAGACTCATCGTGGTTTACAAGCGACTGAGTTATGTAATGAATGCATCACTTTGCTCCAAAACCTTGCCTCCGGCATTCACCTTCATATCTCTAGAATAATATTTAATCTGTACTTCGCAATCTTTGGCTCTACAAATCAGGCAGCAGGATATGCCACCAAACTTCTCATCACGCTCCACCAAGCGGCAGAGCTGACAAAGGATCTAGGAGACGAATATTGCGCACAAAGTCGGTTTGTAGATGCAAAGAAACTTTTTGGAAGAGTTCTCACGATCGTGAAAATGACCGATCTTAGGAGAGAAGAAGGTATAGCTTACCAGAGACTTGGATCTGTATCTAGATTTTTCGAAGAAGAACAAAAGGTAATAGAATATCACGAGAAAGCACTTTCCATCATGATAGAAATTGGTGACATACAAGGAGAAGAATCATGTTACGTGAACCTAGGAGCTGTGTTTCAATCCCTTGGTAGAAATCAGCAAGCTGAAGACTCTCTAGAGAAAGCTCTTTTCATCGCGTTAGAAACTGGCGACAAACAAGGGGAAGCAAACAGTTACGGGAACCTCGGAATTGTCTTTAAATCCCTTGGCGAATATCAGCAAGCTAGAGAATATCACGTGAAAGCACTTGCCATTGCGATAGAAATTGGCGACAAAGAACTTGTAGGGTTAAGTTACGGGAACCTCGGAAATGTCTTTAATTCCCTTAGCGAATATCAGCAAGCTAAAGAATATTACGAGAAAGCACTCGCCATCTGGATAGAATTTGGCTACAAACGATATGTAGAGACATGTTACACGAGCCTCGGAACTCTATGTACATCCCTTGGCGAATATCAGCAGGCTAGAGAATATTTTGGGAAAGCACTTGCCATCGAAATAGAAATTGGTAACAGGCGAGGAGTACCGACAACTTTCTGGAACTTCGCAAGTGTGTTTCAATCCCTTGGCGAATATCAGCAGGCTAAAGAATATCTAGAGAAAGCACTTGCCATTGCAATAGAAATTGGTGACAGGCGTGGAGTAGCGGTAAGTTACTGTAAACTCGGATATGCGTTTCAATGCCTTGGCGAATACCAGAAGGCTAGAGAATATCACGAGAAATCACTTGCCATAGCGGAAGAAATTGGCGACAGAAAATGAGTCGAGTCATGTTACTTGAACCTCGGAAATGTGTTTCTATCCCTTGGCGAATATCAGCAGGCGAAAGAATATTACGAAAAAGCACTCGCCATCGCGATAGAAATCGGTGACAGAAAAGGAGTAGATGGAAGTTACGGTAACCTCGGAATTGTGTTTCAATCCCTTGGTGAATATCAGCAGGCGAAAGAATATCTTGAGAGAGCACTTGCCATTAGGATAGAAACTGGCGACAGAGAAGGAGTAGAAGAGAGTTACGGGAACCTCGGAACTTTGTTTTACTCCCTTGGCGAATGTCAGAAGGCAAAACAATACCACAAGAAAGCACTGGCCTCAGCAACAGAAACTGGAAGCAAAAAAGGCCAATGTACAGCTCTCTTGGGCCTTGGAGATGTTTATCGTAAGCTCCGTAAATATCGGCAAGCTAAAGAACATTTTGACAAAGCACTCGGTATCAGTATAGCAATTGGTGACAGAGAAGTAGAAACAAGGGCTTCCGCAGGTTTGGGAATTGTGTTTGCCTCAATTAATGACAAACAGAAAGCAAAAGAACATTGTGAAAATGCACTTACCATTAGCAAGGAATGCGGCCATAGATATAACATAGCAAGTGCTTACATGGAGCTTGGAAAATTATCCACAGTTCTTGGTGAATATGACAAGGCAGAAGATTATTTAGAGAAAGCTCGCTTAATAAGCAGCAAAATTGGAGCCAAAATGAGTGGGTTTCAAAGCCTTCTCAGTATCCCACATTTGAAGATATCGCAATCAAAGCCAGAGGAAGCAAAGCAATGTCTTCTTGAAAGTATTAGAAATTACGAACGGATGAGAAGTTTTCTGAGAGGAAACGAGGAATTTGAAATATCCCTGTTAGAGGAGCACGGGACTCTCCATTTCAAGCTTCTTACTAAGTTGTTTTGCGGAACTGGAAAATTTCAAGATGCTCTTTATGTGGAGGAGCTGGGACGAGCGAGAGTTCTCGCGGAACTCATGGCAGACACATTCTCCATTCAAAGCCACATCTCAGTTAATCCACAATCATGGTTTGAGATTGAAAAAATCGCTGAAAAAGAAACCAACTCTGCTCTTTTGTATATTTCATATGAAGAGCGGAAAGTTACCCTCTGGGTTTTGAAAGCAAATGGAGACACTTACTTTCGAGCTAGCGAACATGTGAAAGACAATTAACACACTTATGTCTGAAAATGTTTACAATGTGGAGGGAATTTTCAAAAAGAGTGCCGCCAGCTTTGGCGTTTTACCCACAGAAAATTGTGAAGATCGATCTTTGGATGACATCGTCTCGACATCTGTATATGGAGAGAGCCGGGAAACTCTGCGAGGTGACGAAACCATAGATACCGAACGAATTCTTCATTTGTGTTACAAATGGATCATCGCTCCTGTGGCAGATTTACTTCCAGAGCCTGAAATCATCGTTGTGCCCGATTGTTTCTCGTACCGAGTCCCATTTGCTGCCTTGCGTGATGGACCAGCCGGAAAGTATTTATCAGAGAATTACAAAATCCGCATCGTCCCTTCCCTGACGACTCTCCGGCTGATTCAAGAATGTCCTGTGGATTTTCACAGTCAAACTGGTGCACTGGTGGTGGGTGATCCCACGGTTGGCAAAGTGCATTACAATGGACGTTTCACCAACTTTATTCCTCTGCAATGTGCTAGAAAGGAAGCAGAGATGATTGGTCGACTGCTGGGCGTTCAACCTTTGTTAGGAGAATGTGCAACAAGACAGGCGGTACTTCAAGAAATACCTTCAGTGTGTCTGGTGCATCTCGCCGCACATGGAAGTGCTGAAAGAGGAGAGATAGCTCTTTCCCCTCAGTGCCACTCTGGCAGTATTCCACAAGAAGAAGACTACCTCCTGACAATGTCTGACATCTTAGGAGTTAAAGTGCGAGCAAAACTGGTTGTACTCAGCTGTTGCCACAGTGCGCGTGGATTGGTTAAAAAGGAAGGAGTTCTTGGAATCGCTCGAGCATTCTTAGCATCCGGTGCACGTTCAGTGTTGGTAGCATCATGGGCCATAGAAGACGAAGCAACGGAGCAGCTCATGAATCATTTCTATGGGCACCTTGTTCGTGGAGAAAGTGCCAGTGAATCTCTTCACCAGGCCGTACAATGGTTGAGAAACAACGGCTTTCCCAATCCTTCACAATGGGCACCGTTTGTGCTGATGGGAGATAACGTGACATTTGATTTTACGAAAACAGGGTAAGTCTTTGCCTTTCATCTATAAAATGTCAAGAAAAGGATGACAGTCTACGTAGTGTCCGGAGCCAGAATATTATGTTTATTTTGTTCTTTTCAATTAGAATTGGCCTAGAATCAAAATCTCTTTTGTTACGAGGTTTCTAAAAATAGTTCTACAAACGGAGATTAGATATGTTGATTGTCAGGCCATAAAAATGAAAACGGTCAGCTGAGAACTACGGGAACATTAAGCAGGTCAACTTTGTTTTATAAAAATTACATGATAATCTAAAAGTGACTTTGGCATCCGGCATGGTATGATCGACACTATAATTTAGAAGTTTGCAAAATCCCATCCAATGACCTCTAAGTGCAAAGCTATCAAAGCTGTATGTTTGGTAACTGTAATTTATCTAAAATATCTGATCTGTTTGCTTAATTAAAGTTGAAATGCTGACAAATAAATAATTTTTGTTTAGGAATGAAGAACTCAAAGAGGACAACGATGACGTAGAGAATACCCAAAGTAATGAATGATCCTGCAAAAAGATTATCCTTAGGGAAAATTGCCTTTAAATGGACACTGGTATTACTTTGTACAGACATTTATAATTTCTTTAAAGTCGAGCAGTTGTTTTTCATGCATTTGTAAACAAGGCTGAATCGAAAGCAAGAGCTGACACTGAAAGCCGTAACTCAGCTATTGGATCTACTAGTTATATCAGTAAGGGAATAAAATTAATAAGGATGGAAAATTGAACGCAAGAAATTGGCAAAGCTTTTGAAATTCGAGATTTTTGACAAAGTCTTATTTGAGATTACAGTTTGAGAAATAGTAACATGGCGATCGAGACGGAAAAAAAAGAACGAAAAAAAAAAACGTAGCGATCAAACAGATGGAAAGAAACTGCTTGCCGGAAGCAAAACAAGCAAGACAAAGAAGAAGACAGCCAACGGTGCAAACTTGTGTAAGAATCCAACTTAAAAAGAAAAAAACAGTTGAAGAAAGACTAACGTTAAACAAACAGAACACAGAGCAAAAGTAAGGTGGAAAATAACACTGGCATAAAAGAAAATCTAAAAAAGGACATAATCATTAACTGCGCGAGACACTAACGTAAGAGTCAAACAGAAAAAGGGAAGAAGCAATGCGCAAGATTCTGACGTACCAGTAAACATTGATAAAAAA